TCTTCTGAGTCCAGTCCCCATTCCCCATTTTATAGACAGGAAAACTAAGGCCCAGTGGTCACCATGTCACTATTGGTCTACCTGGGTTCTCAAGACTATGAACTAGAAAGAGTGCCAAGTTGCCTATCACCTAGTAGCCAACTCCACTTCAACTACATAATAAAACAAACCACCAAAGCTTTTTGAGTGCCTACTGTGAAGCCAGCCCTGTGCCTTGTAATGAAATAGACAACCTAGTAGTATAGGTTCATAGGATTTAGAGCTGAAAGAAAACTTAGATCATCTATTGATCACCCCACCCCTTATTGTTTACACAGACAGAAATTGAGGCCTAGAAAAGCTAACTCCCCCAAGTAGCAAAGCAGCAGAACTGCTATAGGTCTTTTCAAATATAGTGCTATTTTCATGTTACTAGACAACCACAAGTGAAATAGGGCTGGAGTAATCAAGGTGAGCTTCCCAGAGGAGGTGGGATTTCAGCTGGGCACTGACAAATGCATAAGCCTCATGTTAAATTGTCTAAGATGCCCTTTGAAAAAACAAATTCTACTTAATAAATTCATGAGTTTTACAGATAATCCTCTTTTTTATTCTCTGTATAACAAAATGTTCATATTCATGAATGAATGTTAATTTTATGATAAAAAAATTTTAAATAAAAAAAAAGAATGGTTAGGCTTTGGAAAAGAGCAGGCAAGTGAAACAGTCTAAGCAAATGAAAATAAGCTGAAATTTTTTCAGAGACGATGAATTCATAACAGATACCAACCCTTTCCAGGGAAATTTTAAAACTCTTTGACAGCCCAATGTCTGTGTGCTTCAAGCTGAGTCTCTGAAGCACTTAGGAGTCTCCCTAACAAGAGACACAGCCTGCAGTAACCCAGGCTTAGCCACAAGAAAAGCCTTTTAAACCCAGAGACTGAATTACCTTCTCATCCACATCCCCCAGGGAAGGTGTGAGCCAGACAGATGGAAGATGGAGGGAAGGGATGGAGGTGAAGAGGAATGACCAATGAAAGGAAACTTGGATGGCTCTGAGATGCAAAATGATGTCTTGCTCCTGTGTCTGAGGGATAGCTTGGTATAGGGAAACAAATCCTAGAGTCACAAGACCTGGATTTCAGTCCAGACTCAGCTACTAACTCTCCTTATGACCTTTGGTAAGTCATTTCTTGCTTTCTTTTTTTTTCCATCCATTAATTGATAAATGGCATCCATTCAAGTACTCTTAATGATAACTGAGTTAAAGATGCTGATTAACTAAACATAAGAAATTGCAGTTAGAAGGATCATTGATCTGGTTTTTATCTACAAACAATAGCAATAATGTCCTTCCTCTTCTGGGGAAAGTAAAAGAGAGAGAGAGAGAGAGAGAGAGAGAGAGAGAGAGAGAGAGAGAGAGAGAGAGAGAGAGAGAGAGAGAGAGAATGTTAGTTCTCCCTTTGCCAGGGACACTTGGGTAGCACTATCTACAGAGTACACAGTCACTGACCTTATCACTGCTTAAAACCATATAGAACAGAAAACCCTTTTTTAACAGAAGGAATGTCATCAGTCATGAGACTCTGTCAATGAAAATCCTGGATGGCAAGAAAGGAAGAAAAAGAATTAATTTAACTGTGTAGATTATGCTTGAAGCAAGAGACTGAGCAAGAAATGAAATATAGGAGAAAAATGCATGAAAATGGGAGTTGAGGCCTGAGTACAAGTGCCTTCTCTGCCATCAACTCATTAGATGATCTTGGGCAAAATACTTCATCTCTCTGGGCCTCAGGATTCCCCATTCATAAAATGAAGGGATTGGACCAGATGGTGACTTTAGGTCCCTTCCAGCAATCACACTATTTTTGAAGTTCTAAGGTCCCTTCCAACTCTGACATTCTATGTTTCAAAGTCCTTTCCATCTCTAACATTCTGTGTTCCACCTTCTGCTGTCCCTAACTGCAGTACATCTCCATGTTTTAAGTTATAAAGTCTATTTTGTTTCTGACATTCTATGTTCTCAGGTCTCTGAGAACGTAGCTCAGTCTATGAACCAACCATTTTTCATTTTACACCAAGGCTGTGATATTTACGATATAATTTCCCTCATTATACCAGTAGAGCTCACTACACACCCACTGTCTTACCAAGGTGTCTTACCAAGGGGAGGGAGAAAGATGACTAAATGCAGGGTTAACTTTCACTAATCCTTTTCAGCCATTTTTTTATCTTTGTACATTCCCCACCAAGGGTTAGGAATCTTTTGCGGCATTGATAAAACAGATAAGGAATAACTAAGTCAATAATAAAATTACAAAGCCCATCAAGATTTCTATAAAGACTGTCTCCCTCACCTTTTGGCACTGGCTGGAGAGTGAAAAGAACCAGTGCCATTCCTTGTTCTTCCACTAACCTCGACAGTTAATCTTGTGCAAATTACTGCCCCTTTCAAATCAAGTCAATTCCACAAACATTTATTAAAAGCCTACTATGTGCACCTGTGCCAGGCAGTGTCCTCCCCTGTAACAGAAGGTTGGACTATATGGTATGTAAGGCGCTTTTGAGCTGTTATTCCGGGTTCTGCATGTAATGTCCTGCGACTTTTACCTCCTTAATTGGCGAACTGGGTCTGGAAACTGTGCTAATAATGCTTCATGGAAAGCTCCGTGACTCCCCAGTAAGCCAGGGGACACAGTAATCTCTTACAGTGTAGTCCAGGGCGGTCCTTGGAACCCGCCTCCAGACTACAGCTACAACAGCAAAGCATGTGACAGCGGCGGCGGCGGCGGAGGCAGACCAGAGCCTTCGCTGCAGTTTCGTCAGAGGTAAAGGTAGCACAACAGCAGCAGCTTGCACAGGCTGCGCAGCCCTCACGAGCGCGCGCACACGCAGTGACATACATACATACCCACAGAGACAGGCCGGCAGGCGAGCACATAGGCGCACGTCATACACCTGCACACATACCCAGCCACAAACACGCACCACCACGGAACGCCGTTTCTCAAACGAAAGCACAGGTCACATGCCGCTGGACCTCCTTGCATCAGACATTAACCCTTCTAGGATAAGAGGGTTGCGGAAGGGAGAAGAAATGCCTGCGCATGCAGGCCAGCCACAGCCCGCAGAGCGGACTGCAGAGCCCAGCGAGCTGAGCAGATCCGAACTAGCCAAGCAGAGCATCCCTCCCGGGTCTGCAGCCGCCCCAGAGGCTTCATTTACAGCCTTTTTGAGGTCTGCACTACAGTGACTTCAGCAGTAGCTTATTCCTATGCTAAGGCTCTTCTCCCCCGCTGTGGTCTACAGCATTTCAGGGAGAGGCCCCAAGGCAGCACGCTGTCAGCAAAGCCGTTACATGCCGGAAGGCTAGAATTGATAATTTCGGGAAGCCTTTAGGGTATCTTTTTTTTAAAAAAAAATCTTTACATATCACATTACATATAAAAAACCAGCCAGCGTTTCTCCAGTACTTCCTTTCCACACACCCACCGGACTTCAGCCTCGTAAGAACAGCTCCCAAAAGACTGTCAGTTCCTAATAAAGTTTACCTTTCCCCTTCCTTCCCCTCCTCTCCACCACCCAGTCCAGAGTGTAATGCAAAAGCGTACTTTACACAGTAGGGAGAACAGTGACTCAACGCCGGCGGCGGCGAGAGTCGCCAGGCTCAGCGCAGCCGCCCTGCAGGCCGCTGGAGGGGAGATTCAACTGACAGACCACTGCAGAACTGCCTTATTTAATAATGCTGGAGGCCTGTTCTAAATTGGCTGCTGCGGCCCAAGGAGTTAAAGCCAGCGAACTGGACCAGATTCGATGGCATCCGCAATCAAAGATCCCTATCATCTGCTAACAGAAGAAAAGCTCCCTAAATCTACCTCTAAACTTCCCGTTGGCAGCCACGGCAGGAGGTGGATAGCAAAAGGGCCCGGGGGGACTCAGAGGCTGCGGATGGATGCCCTGCTCCCGGCACCTTCTTTCGTGTCACGCGGGGGCTGCAGCAAATCCAGGCACGTTTTTAATAGCTAACTCCCTTAGTAGGCTCACCCCGAGACTTTGGGGGACGCTGCCCCAGGCGACAGGTCCCCGGCTGTCACGCAGCACGTGAGCCGCACGCCGCAGCAGCCGCGGCGCCCCCTCCCCCATCACCACTCGTGTCCACTGCGTCTCCTAAGCCAGGCACACTAACCCTATAGGTTAGTGAGGCGCCTTGCGCAGCCAGACCCGGACACGGGTTTAAAAGGAAATCCCAGAGCTGCGCGACTTCCCTCATTCGCACACCCACGTGTCCCGCAGAAAGCTGAGCGGAATGGGCGCCAAAGCCTGGAGCAGAGAGCTGGTAACTTTAAGGGAACTCTGAGCTGCAGGAAGGTGCTGGAGGGGCCCGCAAGGTGAAACGCCCATCCCTAGTACCCTAAGGGGAGCGGGCGCTGCGCTGCCACTTCAGAGCCGGTCAGGCTTCTGCTAAAGCCGGGCAGGGGACAGGAAAGCGCGTCAAAGTGGAGCTGGAAGTGGTCCTCTGGCTGCCTCCTTGCTGCCTGCCAGGGTCTCCCCAGGAGGTTCCGAGCTCTCTGCCTCCTCCCCAGACATGCAGCTCAACCGTGGGACTGCAAAGGGGCGCAAGGCGCGCCGCCCCCCCACCCACCCACCCTCCACTCCGGGTCCCTGGCACTGGGTTCCAGGGAACGCAGTGCACAAGATTTCTGACGCCCGGCTTTCCGGCAGTGACTGCAGCAGATGCAACCTCCCTGCTCCCCTCCGTCAGCCCTTTTTCCAGGGGCTTGGAACGCTTGGCTGGGGGGGGAATGGGGACGCCCGGGGCTGGGGGTCCTCAGTAGCCACGGGTGACAGCTCTCCCCCGGGCGCACGCCGGCGCGCCGGTGTCTCAGGCTGCTCTCAGGCACTGCCGCAGACACAGCGCCCCCTCCTCCCTTTCTCCCTCCCTTCCTCCCCAGCCCCAGGGAGCTGCGGCGCCGGCCTCCCAGTCCCTGGGGCCCCAGCCCCCAGAGGTCCCCCGGCCTTACCTGACTGTCAGAGAGATAGTTGAAGAAGAAGGAGGAGAGCTCTTCATCCAGCAGCGCGCCGCAGTCCGTCCCCGCCATCTTCCAGCAAGCAGCCCCAGCCGCGGCAGCGTGGGGGAGTCGGCGCCGAGCAAGCCGGCCGGGGGCGGGGAGGGGAGGCAGGGGAGGGGCGGGGAGGGACGAAGGGGGCGGAGCTCCGGACCCGCGGGCTGCAGCAGCAGCGGCAGCAGCGGCAGCTCGTCTAGCTAAGGCGGAGCCCTGGGGTCGGGGACCCGGCTCCAGGCCCAGGGGTCCCCTAGCTCCCAGCACGCGCCTCTCGGGCCGCCTTGAGAACTCCTATGCAAGCGGTTGACAGCTTCCTCCTCCACAGCTGAAAACAGGCTCCCCTCTTCTCCCTGTCCAGCAATGCAGTCAGGTCCCCCGCTGCCCGGGGCTCTAGATGACAGTCTCCCAGGCAGCCGCCTACGGTGCGATCCAAGAGAAATGTTATCTTTTCTTTCATTCATTCATTCCACAGATATGCATTATGAACATCTCGTGTGTGCCCAGCGCTGTGCTAGGCACTGAGAGGGATGGAGAGGCGAATAGGGTAGAATCCCAGCCCTCAAAGCTAGTTAGAGAAGATAAAACATGAATCACTACAATATAAGGCAATACGTGATAAGCCTTGGAGACTTACACACAAAAGTGTTATAGGAATTGAGAGGAGAAGGGAGATTTCATCCACCTGGAGTTAGGAAGGCAGCACATACCTCCAGGTCCCACGACTTGGTGCGGTAAAATGACCCATCAATGACGACTCAGGAGACCTGGATTCCAGTTCTGGTTCTGCTACTAAATCACTGTGTGACTTTGGGCAAGTCATATGCTGAATCTGAGCTTCTATTTCCTCCTCTGAAGAATGAGACTTAACTACGTTATTAAGGCCTCTTCCTTTGACACTACATAAGATCCCTTCTAGCTCTGGTATTGGAAACATTAAATTCACGTCAACAAGCATTTATTAAACACTACTATATGCAAGGCATTTTACTAGGCCCTGGGAATGCAGAGAAAAAACAAAAAAGAAGCAGTCCCTAACCTCAAGGAGGGCATTTTCTGATAAAGGGACAGGACATGTAAAATATGAAGTTTGTTTTTGCAGGAGGAAATCACTAAACTGCAGGGAAGGGAAGGGGCAGGAATCAGAAAAGGCCTTATGTGGGGCCAGCACATCAAGTGAGGCATGTAGGGAGCCAAAGGAGAGAGGCATGGAAGACAGACTGTGGAAAGGTTCACAGAAGGAGATGGAATGTCATGTATGGAGAACAGCAAGTAAGCCAGTTTATCTAGAAGGTAGAGGGCCTGTGGAGTAACATGAAATAGGTCTGGAAAGATAGGCTGTAACTAGATGGGAAAGCATTAAAAATCTTAACAAAGGATTCTGTGTTTTATCCTTCAGCCAGTTAGGAGGCACTAAAGCTTTCTGAGCAGGGCAGTGATGTGATCAGAAATGATGTTGAGGAATATCGGTTTGGAAGCTGTATAATTAATGGATTGGAAAGGGGAGAAGCTGAGTGTACAAAATAGGAGGCCTCGGCAACAGTGCAGGTGAAAGATGATGAGGGTCTGAATCAGGATGGCCAATATAGGGTAGGTAGAATTAATCGGAATTCACAACTGATTGCATATAGGGGAGGGAAGTGAGAGAGAGTAAAGCGTAGAGGATAACTGTGAGATTGAAAACTTGGGTGATCCAAAGGATGGGTTTCCTTTACAGAAAAGGGGGAAGTTAGGAGAAAGGGTAAGTTGAGGGTGGGAGGGAATGAGTTCTAGAGAACTAGTTTAATTACTCAACATTTTAAAGTCATTTTTATTCAATATATTATTATTTATTTATTATAATTTATAAATATTTAATATTTAAGTCATTTTTAAGTGTCTACAATGTACCAGGCACTGAGGATACAAAGACAAAATTGTCCTTGCCCTCAAGGAGCTTACATTTTCTTTGAGGGAATATAACATTCACAGATAAGTAAATATATCATCTATATGTTGCACATATATGATGCCATATATAATATATTTGATATATATTTAATACACTATGTGTAATTAACACACAATTAATATGTTTATAAATATATAAACATAAGGTGTTTTCCCAGGGTTGGAGGTGGTGGAGGGTACTCAGAACTAGAGGTATCAGGAAATATCTTTTGAAAGACCACTGAGCATCGAAGGATACTAGGGGTTCCAAGAGGCAGAACTGAGGAGGGAAAGCATTCTAAGTAGGGGAGGTGAAGATTACCTGGAGATGGGGGATAAAATGCCAGTAGAGGTTGAGTGACATCTGCTAGGCCAATCTGGTTGGAAGTAATATGTATTTCAGGGAACTGTATGATCAACCTGGAAAGGTAGGTTGGATCCAGATTGTAAAGGGTGCCAAGCAAAGAGGTTGCTATTTTATCTTCGAGGCAGTAGGAAGCCAGGGAAGCTTCTTGACCAGGGGCGTGTTATAGTCAGATCAACGTTTTAGAAATATCAATTCTGCAACTATGTTGAGGATGGCTTGCAGAGCAGAGAAATAGGAATATTAATTAGATGGCAATGGCAGTAATCCAGGTGAGGGGCAATCAGGGCCTAGATTAGAATGATTGTGGTGTAAGTAGCGAGAAGGGAAGAGATGAAAGAGACGAGAAGGGAAGAGATGAAAGAGACGTTGTGGAGGAAACAACCTCTAAGGTTCATCCTGGTTCTAGTCTACAGTGACAGAGATGGCATTGATCTTGGCCCCGAAGAATGGATAGGATTCTTATAGGGTGGGAGAGAAGAAGAAAAACATTCCAGGGAGAAAGAATAGTATAGAATAAAGAGGCAGACAGAGTTCAGAAAAAGACAGGTTTCATTTTTGTAGGGAAGGCTTACCTACCTTGATGGAGCTCCTCATTGGGAAGTTGCCCCCTCCCCATTCAAAAATGAGAAAACAGGGAAATTCTCCAAGTGGGGTCCCATCTGTGTCTTGAACTCAGGGGACCTGAGCTGGATTTCCCTGTCTTGGTCTCAGGATCCTTAGGCTGCAGTTTCCCAGAACTAAAGATAGTGATTTCATTCTTTGGCCCCAAGCCATAACTGAGCTTTTAAGGAACAGATCATTTGGATGTGGGATGGAGTAAACTCCACAAAGGAAAAGATCAGACCAATCTCTTGGATCTCCCTTCTACCCCTGGGCCAAGCAGGGGCAGATCTTGCCTCATTTCTAGTCTAATTAGCTGTGCCTTGTCATTTAAATACCTCAGTCTGTGACAACATCAGTAACCGCACTACCCTAGAAAGGGTAAAGTCTGAGACTTTCTTCAGGAATGAGAGCAAGAACCCAACTTTTAAGGGTCGTAAGCCCTGATGCTCCCCCCACCACCTCCATCACCACACAGTGGAAAGAGCAATGAAATCAAAATCAGAACTCCTGGGTTCAACTCCGCTGCTTTTACTTATTATCTGGGTGGTAGTGGGCAAAACTCAATCCCTCTGCACCCTCAGTTTCTTCATCTGTTAAATATGAATAACAATGCAGTAACTAACTAGCTCACAGAAAGGTGTTTTTAAAGCTACGAAGTGCTAGATGCATTAAACATGAGCTATTAATATTTTCTATTATTTAGCTTTTATGATAGAAGACAAAGAGTCTGGGCATCAGCACATCTGGGTCCTGACTCCAGCTCTGACACTTGCTAGCTGTGTGACCTTGAACTAGTCACTTACCCTTTTTGTGACCCACTTTGATTGTCTATAAAGAGGCCAAATACCTAAAATTCCTTCCAGACCCTTTCAACTTTGGCATTTGATGACTCCCTGAGTTCCTGGTGATCTGTTTACCATGGAATCCTGGGATTAGAGATTTAAAGCTAGAATGGGGGTTAGTGGTCAAAGTCACATAAGAAGGAAGTGGCAGCTCTGTTTTGTTTTTTTTTTTTCTTGGAGAAATAGGCATAGTCTATTGAAGACGGACTCTCTTACGGGCTAGGCCTATGATTTCACTTGGTATAGGAAACTACCAGATGAAGAAGCTTCCTCTATCAATGCACCTTCTCATCTCAGGGAATTACCTAGAGTGTTACGATGGTGAGTGACTTGGCCAGGGTCACAGCCAGTAGGAGTCCCAGGTAGGACCTGAACTCAGAGCTTGCTGGTTCCGAGGTTGGGTTACTATCCACTGTGGTAAACTGCATCTTCATGCAAGAACAAAGACCGTAAAACCAATCACTCACTTCCATGGACTAATTAGTGGAAAGCTTGGCTATGAGATCTTTTTGAAAGAAGTGCCCTTTTATTACTCCCAAGTTCAAACAGTAACTAGAACTAAAACACAATGGCTTATCTCAGGGCAACAGGGGATTTACTCTAATAACAATATAACTATCGTTTGTAATCAGTAGCTTTAAACATTCACCCCTTCCCAATCTTGTTTATAGACAGTACAAAGGTAAATGAGTCCAACTCCTGTCAAATACTTACAAATTTCAACATAGTAGAGTACTTTTCAAATAATAATCAGTGTGGACTTTTTCCCCCCATCACCCTATCATGCTTGCCTGGATTCTCTTGGGGAAAAAAAAAAACAACTGAGAAAATGAAACCAAGCAATCTTGAAAATTTTTAAATAATTTCTCCTATTCAGTTCAATTGTTTCTGATGTTCTCCTGATCTACTTTTTAAACAGTACCAAATAGTTGCCTGGCACATTAAAGGTTTAGTAAATGCTTGGTGATTGATTGATTGAGGTCTGGAAGTTCTATTCTCCCTTTATTCCTACTTTTTTTTCATTTTCCCTTGAGAATCCAAATCTGTTCTTCCTCCAAATGAATTTTATCATTATTCTCTTTAGCTCCATAAAGTATCCCTTTGTAGTTCAATTGTTCTCACATGAAATACATAAATTAATTTATCCAGTATCATTGTCTTTATTATATTGTCACAAAATAACTTATTTTAAGTTACTTAGATGAGAAAGGGAAAGCGTCATTTTAGGGCTCATAATTAACACTTCAGTACTAAGTGAAAAAAATGTGAAACTGAG